CATTAACGATAGCCAAATGGGGGCCGCTTTAAGGCCGAAAATGCATTGAAATCGCACATTTTCACCATTCCGGACCCGTATCTCAGTTATGCATGGATGGATTTTGTTCAAATTTGGTACATACATTAAACATAATAGGACCTTGATGCACGTCTTTTTTTTTCCCGGATCAAGTTCGAAATGGCCGACTGGCGGCCATTTTGTTAAAGAATTCAGTTCTGGATCCGTATCAAAGACATGTCTGGATTGATCAAGTTCAAACTTCACACACACATGGTACATCATTTCACAAATAGATATGTGCATTTGTTTCATGATCTGCTTAACAATAGCGGAATGATGGCCATTTTAAGGCCGAAAATGCATCAAAATCACGTATTTTCACAATTCCAGAACCGGATCTCAGTCATGCATGGATGGATTTTGTTCAGATTTAGCACAATGTGTTGTACATATGCAGGTGCATTTCGGTCATGATCTGCTTTGAATGTATATGTCACTCAAATATGAACGGAGCGGGGACGTGTCATTGACAATGACTTGTTTGTCAGCTATTGTTAATTTTCAACTTATCTCTTCTATTGTCAATCCTTGCTCTTCATCTTTAACCATTGAAGCACTGTCAATTGTTTTCACCTATGACTTATCTCGATCGCATTTGACTCATCACTTTTCTTGTCAGTCCTTACCATTCTCCCTTGATCCATAAGTACCATACTTCTATTGTCAGCCACTCTTTACAAATAACTGCTTCTATTGAAAGCCATTACAATCATCTTTTTACCAATTCATTGTGTGTCATTCATTTATACTGTATTCAAAATAATAATAGATGAATATGCAAAACAAACATGAAAATAGTTATTATAATACAATGTTTTTATTTTTTCATTCAGCTTGTCATGGGGAAAATGATGGAGCAAGGTCCAGTACTTATAATAAGTTTTCAAACACAACAGATACAAGTTGTGAGAAATGCCAAGCATGAAATAGTTGAGGGAGATGAGGTGAGTTTTTATGGGGTGTACAAGTTGTAGGAAATACCCAGATTGAAGTAGGTGAGCGAGATGAAACAAGTTTGTATTAGAGGGGGGGGGGTTACAAGTTGTGGTCTAACTGAACTGTTGTCATGAGTGATTACCTGCTATCTGGGTTATGACCTTTATTGGTTTGGACTGGTGATCTGAGTGATGACCTATAGTGGCGTCTGTATGCATGTTTTTTTCGCTGATGTTGTCAATTAATTATATTTTCTGAACATATATTTTCTTGTAGGATAAAGTTGTTAGAGTACAGTATGTGTGGGTACTATGCCGAGATCAAGAAGAACTAAACCCTGATGCTGCTTGGAAATTGCTGGATTTATCTGCCCAAACCGCACAACAGTGGGTGTAGAATGGAAGTCATTGCATATACAAAAACTTTTGGCTTTCGTTATTTTTTGGGTTGCTACTACAGAGTGTTATTATAGTGATGACAGACATGCATTCTGATGCACCATGACAAGTAGCTGGTTGTATTGGAAGGTCTCATTGGCCAACACAAACATGCTTAAACAAATGTCAATTGGGCGAACTGTGACACACATCACAAAATATACGGACTATATTAATTGGTAGTTGGACACGCTCTAGTCTAATTTCCTCCAACCATCTTGTTTTGATAAGTCGTGTACATTGTATAGTTCAATAAGTTTATTTTATCGAGTATACCGGTATGTAATCTTATGTTAGATGATTATCAATTATTTTTAAAAAAATTGCTACCCATCTTGGAGATCAACTGTTACCTTTGTAACTCTTGATAAATATAAGCATGTAGCATTTCATGTAATTTATATAAAAGGTAATAAAGGATTTGATAGGATACACACTAGTATACAAGTTTTCTTTTACAATTTCTGTATTCGCAGCCATTGTTGACTACTGTATTAAGGGGTTAACTATTCACTGCGTTTTAATTTTGCTTACCGGTATTTCGCTGACTGGAAAATGTGCTAAATTAAAACCCAGTGAATATGTAAAATTGAGCATAAAACCCCACTGAATATGCCTGAAATGGTAAATCAGCGAAATTTAACGCAGTGAAAATTAGTCATTTAACAGTAATTTGCTTTTCAAACCTTTTGGTCCCCGGCAATGATTTGCCACAGATGATTTTACCTTCATCAATGTGAAAACAAGTGAAGCAAATGGTCAGCAATGATGAGCGGATATGAGCGTATTGTGGTTGCGTAACAATTCTGTGACATAAAAATGGCTACTATCGATTGTCGTCATTCTGCATATAGCAAATCTCTCAAACGGTAATTTTCATTGACAATTTCAACAAAAACATCTAGGATGCAACTTTTACGACAGTGTATGAAAGGGTTGAAACTACGCACCAAAATCCAGTAATTTTGTCATTTAGAAACAGTTTCTTCAGATGTTTATATGGGTGGGTAGATTTGATGCCCGGACCAGAGTCATGAACTTGACTTTTTTGTTTGGTTGAACTATTTATGCTGGTAAAAAACATGGGGGAAAAAAGTCTCCTAGAAACGTAGCATTTTGACCTCTGACCTCTGTCCTCCAAGTAAAATGATTTGGTTTGCAAATGAGCTGAAAGGCATGACATTGTTTTTAAATACAAGTTGAGTAGTATCCCAAACAGGTACCGTCTGCATGCTAAGAATCCCTATCAGATATTCATATGCAATGAATGATAACATTTCATTATGTATTCATTGATTGGCTCACACCTGTGAGTCACAAAAGTCTAGTTAGTAGGAGGGGTAGCACTTACAAAAAGTGAATATTGTAACTCAATCTGAGGTGCTACAAACGTGTGAATGAATTTTTTTGTCAGTCATATTGAGATTTTGTAGAGGGCGAAAAATGCAGATTTACAAATTGCATTAACATTCGCAGACATCCTTCCATTGCAATTGAAATGGACTCCTTATTTGTTAACATACGTTACTGAAGTGATGTCAGACTACCAATCGTGCATCTCACTTGCATCACTTCTGTAGCATGACGTTAATTCAACAACTTTGGTATGTATTATTATTCAGTACGATCCAGTTGGACATTATCCATATTTCAATACAAATCTCTTACCACAAATAGGGATGGGATTAGCCTACAGCTGAAGCGGATTACTCCCATATATTACATACGTATATCGTCTAGCCTTGGCGATTTTGTCATCAGCTGTGAGCTAAACCAACCCTATTTGTGATAGGAGATTTTACGGTATATTTCTATCACAATGGTTTAGCCAATAGTTGGATATTTTGATACAGAATATTTCAAAGTACAAATCGTTCACATTACTTCCGTCCATAGACATATGTGTTCGAATTGTAGATTACAGT